AGTCTTTCACAGGTTCTAGATGACCTAATATTGCTTTTTTCATCATTATTCTAGTTTTGTTATTTTAAATATTGATGAGTGTGATTAAAAATGCTTTTACTGGGATAGGCATTTAGTCTGTTGAGCAAAAATATGGTCTTTTAAGATGTTGCGTCTTTGACCCCTCTTTCAGAGTCCACATTCTGATCAGAGGAGACCACTCTCTGGACAGCGAAGGGTCAAAGAGGTCATCTATGTTAAAATTGAATAGCCCTCTCTCAATAGAGGGGGAGGGATATGACACCACTATCTCCTGTTTACAACACTGTCCTTTCAGCAGTTCCAAGAAGATTCCATAACCATTTGCAATCTGATTTACAAGACCCTGATAAACCTCAAAGTGGTCTCAACAACTCCCAGAGAGAGTGCTAATGACCAGATGACTGCAAGGAATATAAATTCTCCTATCCCCCCCCCCCCGCCGCTGCCACCACCATTCAGTCAGAACTGAAGAAGCTTCTTGGATGAGAAACAAAATGTCTAAGGAAAAAACATGAAGTCCGTTGCCTTTTGAAAAAGCATTTTTATGACAATAGCATCTATTTCACAGATGGATTGATACATTCTTCAAAGAATCCTCTCCCAGTTCTAAGAACTAGCTCAATTTTAAGGAGTACCTGTTTTTATTTTTTTATTTTTAAGTTTCTGCCTATTGAAATGTTCTTCAGTTTTTCCAAAACTACTATTGAGGAAGTTACAATTCACAATTATGGATAACTAAAGAATGGATGAACTTCACTACAGTAAGCGTTTTTGCCACTAGAGGGACCTGTACCACAATACTGTATGACACCTTTAAATGCAGGCCCCTCTAATGGAGTGCTCAAAAAGCATGCATTGTTAAATAAATGGGAGCCATAATTGGCTTACTAATAAGTGAAATAACTTAGTGGGGCATACACAATTTTTTTCTTTAAAAAAATGTTCTTAAGGGTTACTATGTTTTTGGATTGTTGACACTGAGTTCAGTAATATTACGACTTCATATGAACTATCACAAGAATTTACTAGCTTAGGCATAAGTGGAAAGATTTATTTCTTGTCTGTAAGGCTGATTAATAAAATTAATTAAAAATTATATCCTTTGAAGGATGGATTTTACAAACCTGGTCTACACAGTCGCATAACTTCCATTCTACATATTCATGCAAAGGTAAACTGCCTGCTCCTCTAGTGCAGAGGTCCCCAGCCCCCGGTCCATGGACCAGTACCGGACCACGGCATGCCAGCAACCAGACCGCACAAACAAGCAAAGCCCCATCCGCAGGATGTAGGCAGCACACAAAACCACACACCCTCCGGTCCGCGGAAAAACCTCTCTGGTGCCCAAAAGGTTGGGGATCTCTGCTGTAGTGCACATATAGGTTCTATGACCTTTGGCCATATTTAAGGGGTAAGAAGGACTATAGTTTGGTAATAAAGCACAAGTTTTGTACACGTCTGAATAAAGGGTAGATTGATTTCTAGTCTTCAAAATGATTTCAATTACACTGGAATAGTGGTTAGTCTTACCCTGAAGAACATTACGGCTATACCCAACAATATCTGTGGTTAAATAGTTTACATGCAAATTTCCTGCATCTGTAATGATCACAACCAAATATTGTTTGATGATCACTTTCAGAAAAAGGCAGAAGTTCTAACAGTAATGTATACATAACAATAGCTAGAAAGATGGCTAATTTTTTGGAAGTATGCATAACATTTAAGACAAGACACAATACATGTGGTTCTTCCAAAAAATGATTGTCCTGAGAAAGGTACATGATTATTGTGATAGGCAATCGCAGTCAAAATCTTCTATGGCATCTGCTACACATGAGCTGCAAAAATGGGATTATCTCCATTATGAAAAGCTGTGAAATTGTATGATTTTGCAGCTGTTTTCCATTCATTTATGGACAAAGTAGGACAAATAAAATAACTCAATAAACTTGATTATGGTCACTGACCAGTTTAAAAAGAAGAGGACAAGTTAAAAGAAAAAATATTTAAAAATTAGATAATTATAAAAGTTATGTGGTCAAAAAGAAGCATATTTTATGGAGATGAGCACCACCCTCTAGAGTTTATACCTTTATATGAGGCATGTACCTCTAGAATAATAGAAATGTGTCATAGCTCATGTTAACTTTTGTGATTTTTGAAGAATATATTCCATATGTGCTCTGTCCAGTAAAATAAAACACTATTCCCAAACACATGAAGATTTTAACCTCTGCAATTGAGTGCCTATTTAGTTGCCAGGGATGAATTTTAGGATGCTTGGCATCCTTTAAGTTTTGTACAATTTGTATAATTAATTTTGAATGCTTCTACATTCAATGCATAACTCACTTTTGGCCAATTGAAACTGAGATAACAGCATCATCTACATATAGGAGGATGGCAGTATATCTACTCTTCAGTTTTGGAGAATGACAAGTATGATTATTCATCTTGGCTGCTACAATAGACAGTTAACAAATGTGCCATAGCAGTGGCCCAAATGTGCATATCTGCTTAATTATTATGCTAGTAGGAACTGCCTTGGTGTTACAGCCTTGCATACAAACCTAATCTTAAACTAGAAGTTTTGAAAAGTTTATATATAGAATAAGAAAAACTTACCTGTCCGCTTAGATAATTTTCTATGATAAAATTTTTGCAGGTATACTATAATTTATATCGTTTCTAGATATAAGATCAAAGTTGATTTTAACTAACCCCATCATTTTTAGGATCAGAACCTTATTGTATATAAATGTGAACAGGAAGAACACAACAGGAATCTACCAATCCAGATTTTTCCATTTTTTTTAAAAAAATGGCAGGTTTTGATCGGTTGATTTGCTTAATTAAATTGCTATTTCTGAGCATATTAAAGAGGCTATCATAGGAATAACTACTCATTAAGCTCTAGGTCAGGTTTGTGTAGTCAGGTTTACTCCAGCATATATAATGTCCTGAAAGGGTCCATTCATGCTTGTGAATGAAGGAAAAGGTTGGTGGTTAGATGAGGGTTATGAAGGCCTTAATAAAGCTGAACTGAGAAACCAATATTTCTTGAGGGTCTGCCTCCTGACAGTCATAATCAAATCAAGCTTCAGTGAATAGAGTAATTTCTCTCCCTCCCTCCCTCCCTTCTCCCTCCCTCCCTCCCTCCCTCTCTTTTTTGTAATTTGTATAACTTTATAATTCATTAACAGAAAGCCAAAATGAGACTCAGAAAATATATTGCATGTCTTCTATAAAAATGGCTAAAATGTTGGAAGACAATTTCAAATAATTGTTTTGGTATCATTTAAGATATAACATAGCTATTCCCCTTTTAAAAAAATTGTCGTTTGAGGATGACGAAGCGAAACATTGTTCCTCTTTTTATTGAAAATGAAATTACTTCGTTGCTGACAAGATGGTGTTGAGATATCTACACATTTTCCAACTTGTTATCATTCTTTTTGTTTATGGTTTTACGGTGGCACTGGAAAAACAACTGCTTTGTACATCCCATGACATTGATATTTTATATTCCTATTGTGGTAAGTAAAGAACCACTATGCCTTTGTTTAGCAGAGTTTGCAACACCTTTCAGATTAGTTTGTCCCTTCTTCTGCTTTATTGTTCTGTTAAAAGAGCCAGAAAAAATGTGTCCTGGATAGTACCGTACTTGGAAACAGATCAGAAGGAGGGAGGTCATTTTGGAGAGACTTCCATTGAGTCTTCATTCTGGTGAACTTCTAGATTTCTCTGTGTGTTTGCATTTCACTAACCTACAGCTCTTTTGCGTAGTATTTGTGCTTCCTTTTCTTGTTATATATTTACAAAAAGGCTAGGTGTAACTTAAGTAAAGAGCCAGTTTGGTATAACTTGAAAAGGGAGACAGTTTGGTGTAGTGGTTAAGACATCAGGCTAGGAGACAGGAGACCCTGAGTTCCAGTCCTGCCTTAAGCACAAAGCTAGCTGGGTGACTTTGAGCCAAGTTCCTTACTGGCAAACCACTTCCCAAAATCCTTGCCAGGAACTTGTCTAGGCAATTGCTGGCAGTTAATACTGACACACATTCTTACAGACACTTGAAAAACTGTCTTCAGTAAAGTGGAACTCTTTCTCCATTTGCTCTATTTTTGCAATAAAGTAACTCTGACAAATTTAGCTTTAGTATCACGTATTGGTATGGTCTTTACTCTTAATGTGATAACCTGTAATCTAGGATGCACAAGTTTAATTAGAAAACCATACATGTGTGGTGCTTTTCAGCTGAAAAACTCTTTGGTTTGCAAAACTTTAAACCAATGTAATTTTTAAAATTATTTTTTTTAATTTCATTAAAATTAAAAAAAATAAATTTTCTTTTTACCTTTTTGTTTCTTAGATCATTTATCCCTCAATTAGTCTGAGCCAAATAAATTTCTGGTTTTAAGACTATTGGATATTGCATTGGGTTTCCATTATGCTCTTCATTAGCAATTTCTATTTCACATGCTTTCTGCTTTTGATTTAACATCTGGCCAAAGCAGATTTCTGTAAAATGAAAACCATAATCTGATGCTTTATGATTTCAGGTTCTTAGTAAAAATAGCATTGGTATTGGTTAGGAAAATGAAACTAATTGTTACTTAATCTCAGCAGATTTTTAAACTTCAAAAGTGAAGTTATTTTCTTTTCACCAATCAAGAATAACATAGAAAAATGCAGTACTTAGAAAGACAAAATTCCACCCTACTTCAAATGTATTTCCAATATTTGGTTCATGACTAAATTGGTGTCAGATCTACACCTATAGGCTTGTTGTCTTATGACTGCAGCATCACAGAATGATTTTCAGATTTTAAATAGGTATCCCAAGTCTTTTACCCTAAGATGCTCTAATTTCCATTACCTTATCATAACATCAGTGTAATAACTTCTGTAGAAATTCCAGTCAAATAGTTATGAAACACAGAAAGTACAATTCTATTAGGTCTATTCTAGGGGTTGATAGTGTTAGGTAACCTTGAATCCTCCCTATTCAGGAGTGAACAACCTTTGTCATCTTCTATCTAGATCAGGGGTAGTCAACCTTGGCTCTTTTATGACTCGTGGACTTCAATTCCCAGAATTCCTGAGCCAGCTGGAATTCCTGGCTCAGGAATTCTGGGAGTTGAAGTCCACGAGTCATAAAAGACAAATCACATTTGTGCCTTCACTTGCGCCTTTGTTTTTTCATGGACACTCTTGGTCCCACTCATTTGCTAATGAGTTATTTTAGAACTGGCACAAAAGTTATTTTTCAATTAGTAAATTAGTTTCAATCTTGGAGGAGAACCATAACAATTTCTTCTAATTCAAATAAAATGAAGTAATGAATTAATGTCACATTTGAACAAGCAGTGGGGACTGAAACATTTTATTTCTACAAGAAGTAGGCATGCCTTTACATTTATTTTACCACTTTTTATAACCTACAAAGCTGAAAGAGAACTTTTTTAAATATTTGCTTTGGAGCAGAAAATAATACTATATTAAAACTGTTTTGAATGCCACATGAAAATTGAGATCTACTCGGAAAAGTTCAGCCATCAAATATGGTCGGAGATGGTTTAATAACTTCTTCCTTCGCTTATTGAAAGCTCTGGTGTGTCCCCATTTATGAGAAGATGACTTCTTATGACTTGGTGGGTCACATGGTTTGTAGAATATTTTGGTAGGAGAGCAAAAATAGAATAATCTATAAATAACATAGCCTCAAAGATTAGAAACAAGCAAATTTTAAAGCTCTAAATAGAATACTATATCTACATCAGGAGTGTCAAACTGCCGGCCCGCGGGCCAGACACGTCACGTGGAAGCCACGCCCACCCCATTGCCGGCAATGGCAAAATCAGCCCGATACGTTGTGCGCCGTCACGTGACGTTGCAAGTTTGACATGCCTGATTTACATCATCCCTGTTGCAATCTCAGCTGCTTCAATTAGCTACAGATCTAGAAGAAACCTTAAACCAAGGGTCTTCAAACTTAGCCCTTTTATGACTTGTGGACTTCAGGTCCCAGAATTCCTCAGCCACATGCCTGGCTGAGGAATTCTGGGAGTTGAAGTCCACAAGTCATAAAAGGGCCAAGTTTGAAGACCCCTGCCTTAAACTATCTTTTTTTATATAATCTGTTTTTCGAGATGCAATTGCTCTATATTATCCTGATTAAGTATTGTCTGGCTAGTTTCTTCTATCCCTACACAGACTCAAAGTATTGGTTGACACTTATTGATATTATTTTCAAAAATATATTAAATGTGTATTGTAGTAGTCCAACAGGAATGGTCAAAGATTCGTGTCATTTTTTAATGATTTTTTTCCCTTTATTAAATTTGTTTGCCTTGCAGGCTCTGGGAGAGATACATTCTTCTTTTCAGTGGAGCCATGTTTGTTACGGGATCGTACAGAATGGCAAGGTACTATTTTCTGGATTCCAAGTGAGTTTACTGCCTATGTCAGACCACACCGGACTTAATTGTTCTCCATTACAGGTGGCCTTGCTTAATGACCACTTCTAAGGACTACTTGTTCAGCAAGTATACCATGCTGGCTATTTTTTCCTGTTGCTGGGTTGGATCTGATGGTAACTTTCTATGGAGTGGAAAGTGCTTCTGCTTATTCAGGATCAAGCACCAGACTTGGCTGATCTTTCCAACTATTGTAGTGTTTCATTGGACTGCATATACAAGTAATGCTCAATGTACAACAGTTGCTCATTACAGTTGCAAATAGTGACAACTGTTAAGTTAGACAGCCTTGCTTAACAACCCCCAGCCCCTTCTCTCCCTGATCCTACTGTTAAACAAATGTGGAAGTCGTTAAACGAGCATGGGGTACCTCATGGGTGGGTGAGGCTAGGTCCCTAAAGGAGGCAGACAAGCAGCAAAAAGATTTTCAAAGCCAAAAACAGCCCAGCTTGGGGGGGGGGAAGACCCCAGCTAGATTAGGGCCTAGCTCCTCATTTCAATGCCAGAGAGGCTTCTAAGCAAGCCTCTGAGGGGTCTGGGCCTCTGCCCTGATCAGCTGGCAATCAGGAAACTTCAAACCTTTCCTGGCCCTTGCTGGGCTTTGTGAAGCCAGTTGCCTGCATGCCAAAGTCGCAGTTTAGGGATAAGCTAAATTTAGCAAATTAAGTGGTTAAAGGGGATCGAAATTGGAGGGCAGAGGCAGAGAGTTTAATTTCAGCACCTAATTGTGTGGGGAGATCAACAAGTCTGACCCTCTGAGCTGTTTTTGTTTTCTTTATTGAAGAAATGTGGGTTTTTGGAAGAGGGAGGGGGTTAAGTGAGGGTAAGTTCTGAACTTTTGTTGTTGTTGTTAGTTGTGAAGTCGTGTCCGACCCATCGCGACCCCTGGAAGAACGTTGTCCACGGGGTCGCGATGGGTCAGACAGACTTCGCAACTAACAACAACAACAACAAAAGTTCTGAAAGCAGCCACCTTTTCCTCAAGGAATTGTCAGAACACTGAAAATGGCATCTGGTTCCAGTAAATATGGGTACCAGCCCAAGCACTGTGAAGTCCTGTCAGAGCATGATGGGGAGAGAAAGATGAGGGGAATTGAAGCATCCTTGTGGTTGGTTGTAAGGGCAAATGACTGCAGGGGTACTGCAGCCTCTGTAAATTTGAAATAGGCTTGTATTCAGCTTTTGGAGGGACTGTCATAAGTTTGGCCATTAATTGGCTGGTCATATTTGAGAACTACCTGTACATTGATTACTCCAGGAGGACTGACTTTCAGTATTCAATAGCTATTATTGGGAAGCATGAGAGAAAATTAAGACTGACAGCATGTTTTCTAAAAAGTTGAAGTGCTGTCAACTACTGCAAAGTTAACATTCATAGAACTCACTGCTACATCTCTATATCACAGTAGTTCATATTCATTTCTGAATATATTTTTTGAATGACCCTAGCAGTTAGATTCATACACAATATGTTGAGACATATTTCACAGTAACCTTAAAAAATAAAAGAGAATATCTGTAGCTCAGGGTTGAACTGTGGAGTCCTTAGTACTCTCAGAATCTGGCTGTTTGTTTGTAGATATAGTATTTCATTATAAAATACTGAGGTAACATCAGTACTAGTGAATGTGGGATTTGCTCCCTGTTTATATGCTTATATAGGCAGCTTACAAGAAATACAATAAAGCAATCACAGATTACTCACAGAATGGTGAGCAGTAAAATAATAAAATTTTGATAAAAATGATTGCTAACACTCTTTTATGCCATACAGTTGGTTCTAATAAAAATACAGCCTATTAAGCAACCTTGTCCTTATTGTTTCATATAATGTTTTAGATAGCAATTTCTCCTAAGCGAGCCTTACTACAGACAAATTGGCTCAAGCCTTTCATTGTACACATTTAAGTTCTGTTCAGCTTAATGGGCTTATTTCCCAGTCAATGACTTGAGTTTACATTCTGTACTGCTGAGCCATCAAACATTTGTTTGTTTGTTTTTCCTTAGATTATTATGTGAACCTGTTCATTGCAGTTTGTGATGCATAAATCATGGCTTTGTATTTTGTAAAACAAGAGAGACCCAGAGTAGTCTATTGAAAATGATGGTAGGAATAATGTAACACACCTGGAAGCAACTGTTTGGTGGAAGGTCTCTGATTAGTCCCAAATTTCATTACAAGACTGAAAATGTATAATCTGACATAAATGATAAAATATGATAAAATATTTATCATTCCTCTGGCTTTGTTGTCACAGTTTATAATTGTCTGTATAAATATGCTTTCAACTGATGCCTTCTTCTGGGACACAAAATGTTTTGTGAAATCCCATGGATTTAAAAAGAAATTTAAAGTGATCAGATTTTTACTCTCTTTCTCATACACATACACATACAAGGAATATGTTATAGACCATTGATGGCGAACCTTTTAGAGACTGAGTGCCCAAACTGCAACCCAAAACCCACTTATGCATCGTCGGGTGCCGGGTGGGTATGGCTCATTGGGTGGGCGTGGCTGCGGTGGTAACGGCAGACTGGGTGGGACTAAAAAGTTCAATCAATCAATTCCAACTTTGCAAGATCTTTTTTTTCCCCGCAAGAAATTGAAATTGACTGATTGATTGAACCTTTTTTTTTTTGCACACGGTGGCGGAGGCCTAAAGCAAAAAGATTTTATAAAACCCAGCTGAAGGCCTAGGACTGGGGCGATGGCGCGCGTGCCCACAGAGAGGGCTCTGAGTGCCGCCTCTGGCACCCGTGCCATAGATTCGCCACCACTGTTATAGACCTATATTATATAATTGCATAAAGATATTATCAATGAACTTTTTGCAACATATTTCTGCAGAGGCTGATTTGACAGTTGTTGACGCACGCATACAGTTGTGGAATGGACCTTTAAAAGCCTTAAAATGGGAGAGTACTGTTTGTCATGGTGTGGATGATGACTATTCATATTGTGGAACTCTGAAGGGAGGTAAGTATGAATATGCAGTCTTTAACAGCCCTATGAAACTTGTTCTCATTCTTGTATTTTATTGTATTTATTCAGACTTACAATATATCCTTTTGTGAACAAAACAACAGAACAGGATATATTGAGGGCTGATAAACTTCATGTTTTCTAAATTGTATAAAGTGGATTGTGTTCACAAAAATACATACTATCAGTTGGTGGTTCTCAGGATCAAACAGGTAAAACCCTTGTATACAATTGTGCTGAATTTCTTAAAAAGTAATTATGGTCCATTATTAGCAAGGTAAAAAGAAAAAAGAAAAAGTAAGGTTCTACATTTAGGCAAGAAAAACCAAATGTACAGGTATAGTATAGGGCAGGGGTAGGCAACCTAGGCTCTTTTATGACTCGTGGACTTCAACTCCCAGAATTCCTGAGCCACCTATGCTGGCTATGCTGGCTCAGGAATTCTGGGAGTTGAAGTCCACGAGTCATAAAAGAGCCAAGGTTGCCTACCCCTGGTATAGGGGGTACCTTGCTCAACAGTAGTAACTGTAAGGGATCTCGGAGTCCTAGTGGACAATCATTTAAATATGAGCTAGCAGTGTGCTGCAGCTGCCAAAAAAGCCAACACAGTGCTGGGCTGCATTAACAGAGGGATAGAATCAAGATCACGTGAAGTATTAATACCACTTTACAATGCCTTGGTAAGGCCACACTTGGAATACTGCATCCAGTTTTGGTCATCACGATGTAAAAAAGATGTTGAGACTCTAGAAAGAGTACAGAGAAGAGCAACAAAGATGATTAGGGGACTGGAGGCTAAAACATATAAGGAACGGTTGCTGGAATTGGGTATGTCTAGTTTAATGAAGAGAAGGACGAGGGGGGACATGATAGCAGTGTTCCAATATCTCAGGGGCTGCCACAAAGAAGAGGGAGTCAAACTATTTTCCAAAGCACCTGAAGGCAGGAAAAGAAGCAACAGATGGAAACTAACCAAAGAGAGAAGCAACCTAGAACTAAGGAGAAACTTCCTGACAGTTAGAACAATTAACCAGTGGAACAACCTGCCTCCAGAAGTGGTGAATGCTCCAACACTGGAAGTTTTTAAGAAGAAACTGGACAGCCATTTGTCCAAAATGGTATAGGGTTACCTGCCTGAGCAGGGGGTTGGACGATGACCTCCAAGGTCCCTTCCAACTTCATTATTATTATTATTAATTATTATTATTATTATTATTATTATTATTATTATTATTATTATTATTATTATTATTATTATTATTATTATTAAAGAAACAATGACCAAATACAGCAAAAACAATGCAATAGTTAAAAAAATCCAAAAACTACAGACCTAAAAAAACAAAACACAATAAAAATACAAAACATAATATAAAAAAGAAATACAATCAAATATAAGAATGAAGACTTCACTTAAGTCTCTTGTTATCATCCTAGATTAAAATATTTTACAGAAATTGCTCGAAATAAAATCTTAGCATTTTCTTTAGCATTAGCAGCTCCACCTGACACACTTTAAACTCTTTCCTGGCATCTGTCTGTAACTTTCGAAGATGCTCTGGAAGGCAGCTGCCTCCTTCTGTCCTGACTTATCAGATAAAGAGACAGCCCAGGCATATTTGGACAGTACATCGATTACTGTTAAGATAAATTTCATATAATAAATTCCTTTAGAATTTTTTCATACTTCATTTGGCACAAATCCCCCTGTCAAATAATCTTTAGAACACCTTTTATTTGTAATTTAGTTTTTGGTAGTCCTAAATTTGACATCAGAATAATAACTTTTGTTATCATCATCACCATCATCAACAACATCATCATCAGTAGATAGCATATAAATACAATCTTCCCTGCCACATGCACATCTTTTATAAGAAGGTGGTCTTCACTTGAGATGTATCTTTTTAATTCACCACCCAAAGTTGTGTACTCCTGTTCTATGAGGTGGTATTAAAGATATCATGTACAAGCTGCAATAATGCTATGTGCATTATTTCATCATCATGCAGATTATACAATTTTTCAGCATTTGTGTAATTATATCATGATGTCTCTGGCATCACTTTTCAGGGACATAGCAGCTAATATAAGACTCTGTTTGAATGCTCTTGCATAGCTAAAGTATTGGCAGCCATTTTTTTGTCTTTTACCCCCTTGTCATTTGCAATAATTTATCCAGTTATTATGCCTCTAAATGTATTTTGAATACTGCTTTCTCCTCCTACTGTATGTGTTAAATTTATTTATTTTATTTATTTATTTAATTACATTTATATCCCGCCCTTCTCCTTGCGGACTCAGTGGAAAAATAACAGAATAATTTTATTTGGGCAAACTCTTGATCACTGTTTATTTTGTGCAGAAACAATCAAGACAACTGTGAAAATCAGAGATTCACATTCACAATATCGGAAGCTTTTAAAGGTATAAAGTTGAAACTACAGGCAACCATTGCTTGAAACTATCAAACAAAATGATTTTCTATAGCTGGTAATTAATTTTTTCTCTTTGTTATAGGGGGAATACATTGCATCTCTTGAAGTATTCACAGGTCTGAAGGAGTTGGTAACTTGTGTGAATTATACACTGATTCTTAAGTAGGGTCTATTTTGGTGAGGAGGCTTTGGGAAATCACCTCACAGCATCTGATCTTTGAAATTGTGGAATTGTACCATTGATGTAATTAGCTGAAAACAAATGTAAGATGAAGAGAAATGTTCATTATATATGAGGCAACGTGAAGCTTTAATAAAGTGTCTTGCTTGACAAAACTTCAAAACAACCAGTCTATTAAAACTGCTTCACAAGGCCAAGTTGTTCTTTTACTTCCAAGAATGAAGCAAGTTGATTTGATTTCCTTTGCTTCAGAGCCNAAAAGATACACTCATGGATAGAATGTTGCAATTAGAAATATAAGGAAAATAATGCTATCAATGTCAACTACCCTTCACAGCTATGTATTAGCACTCCTACTTTTTTATTCTTGTCCATAAATTGTTTGTTTTGGTATTTCACTCTGTTGGCCAAATAGTGGGGAAAGGCATAATTTGCAGCACTGCAAGATTTACTTACGTAAGTTCCTCTCACTCATCCTGACCAAGTTTTACCAGAAGCAACTTAAAAGACATCAAACCCCACTCAAACATGGAAGGGAAAAATACCTTTGGTGACTGTTTCTAAAAGGTCAAGATGAGCTTCAACCATCTTGAGAGATCTGTGAAGAAGACAAGATGCTCTCCGAATCTGCAATGTTTGCAGCAATGCCTGCAGGTAAGTAAGTTGCCTTAGTAAGCCACGCCTGGAATACTGCATCCAGTTTTGGTCACCACACTATAAAAAAGATGTTAAGATTCTAGAAAGAGTCCAGAGAAGAGCAACAAAGATGATTAGTGACCTGGAGGCTAAAACACATGAAGAATGATTGCAAGAACTGGACATGGCTAGTTTAGTGAAGAGAAGGACCAGCGATGACATGATAGCAGTATTCCAATATTTGAGGGGCTGTCAGAGAGAGGAGGGAGACAACCTATTTTCCAAAGCACCTGAAGGTCAGACAAGGAACATTGGATTGAAACTGATCAAGGAGAGATTCAACCTAGAAATAAGGAGACATTTTCTGGCAATGAGAACAATCAACCAATGGAACAGCTTGCCCTCAGAAGGTTTGGGTGCTTCATTATTGGAGGTTTTCAAGAAGAGACTGGACAGCCCCTTGTCAGAAATGGTACAGGGCCTCCTCCTTGAACAGAGGATTGGACTAGATGACCTACAAGTTCCCTTCCAAATCTGTTATTATTCTGTTATTATTCAGATGGAGCAGGGATCAAAAAAGTCGACATAGCAGAAATGGCTGCACAATGAAGAATATTTTAACATTTTGGCCATATCCAGTATCCATCAATTGCTCCTTAATATTTGCAAAAGATAATAGCAAAACCGGAGAGGAGTGAGGGAAGGAGATACAGTGGGCAGAACTTTTCATTAAATTATTTCAGGAAACGTGCAGTGGCCTGCAGTCAAACATAAAGTCGGTCTTAAAGTCATTTGAGGCTAACATAACATTAGCTGATGAAATATTTTTAAATACAAGGCAGATGGTAGGCCAGGCAGTGGATTTCAGCAGTAGCAATTAGTTGATATTTGCAAGAACAGACTGAGCTTCTCAAAACTAAAATGAACATCCACAGAATGAGCTCACTGGTAGGAGGATGAGCTGTCTGTTATTGGAGAAAATCCACTGAATCAGAGAACAGGGTATTGTGAGGATTTATATCATTTGTGTGATAGTGTCACAACAAAGGTTGTAAATTAATGTAAATATTGTAATTTATCTGCAGAATAACATCATTATGCAAATGAGATAAATCACAGCAGAAATTGAGTCCACACTATGTGAAGCACATTGCTTCATTCCTGCTTTAAAAAAAAATTAAGACCCTATTTGTGGTTTGGATTTTAAAACATTTTGAGATTCACTTTTCTGTTGTGTTAGTGAGGTACTACATTTAGATTAAAGTTGCCACATCTGACAGTAGTTGCTCTCTTAATGTACTCACAACATTGTTACAACGCTAAAATGACTTGTCAGTTAGGGGATTAAGCAGCTCCCTCAAAATATTTTCCCCCACTGGGGCTTTTGGGGATGGAATGGTGGACTGAAGATGTCTCCACAAAAGTAGAGCTGATTGCTTCAGCAAAAAATAAAGAACCTGTGATTAGACTGACTGTTCAGAACCTCTTCAAACAAGGAGAGAATGGGAGATTGTCCACATATTGCTTCAGGTAGCTGTTCGTCACGAGGAGACACAGATAGTGGTCTTCCGTGGGTGTGAACTCAGATATGATGGAAATAACCATCTTGCTTGCAAACACAATTGATGACTTTTAAAGGATACTAAGTTCCTTAACCTAACTTTATAATCACTTTCAGAAATTGCTAAATAGGTATTTTTAAGCTGTTAGAAACCTTCAGAACAAGAAGTTTGAAAATGCCAGGTGAGTTTGCTTTCAATCTTGAATGAAAGAAAACTGTAGTAATAAGCTTAAGAATTTAAAGAATTTGAAATAAACAAAAAAAAATGAATACAATTTTGATTTTAGAAAGCTATAAATGGACTAAAGTAGAAGTCCCCAACCCCCAGGCCATGGCCAACTACCAAGCCACGGTTTGTTTGGAGCCAAGCTACACAAGTGGCTGGCAAGTGTGCATGCAGCTCCACTTGCCTGAGCGGCAAATGCTTGCATGCAAAGGTCCATTTGCACTTGTAACAGGTGTGTGTGCCTGCTGCTCGCACAAATGGAGTTGCGTGCATAAGCACTCATGCCTGCCACTCACACGAAACCATCCCCTCTCCCCCATCCCACCTGTCTGCCAAGTCAGAAAAGTTGGGGACCGTTAGACTAAGGTAGTAGATAAATTTAGAATATAGGAACTTTTACCAAAAGATTTTAAAATTAAAGAACAAAAGCTTCTTGTAGAAAATAAATGTTTTGGTTTTTGCAAAACAGCAAAGCTAAGTAATGTTATCATTTTAAAAACTATACACTAGAGGGGATTAAAAATTCTAGGCAGAGGGAAAAAACACTAGCCTACATTTTGTATTAATTATTGGGATCTACAAAATAATGCAAAACGTTATAACACTGAAAATAAAGGAGACGTTTGAAAAATTGAACCAAAAATGAGTAATCACAATATCAATAATGTCAGTCATGATGTCTGCATCTAAAGATAATTGTGTTCAAAAGATGTTACTGAAGAAATAATAGATATGGAACAAATTTTATCTGATAAGATATAGATAGTATTGAAATTGGATTTACAAGTGACAGGGCAAAAGAATGATATGTAAAGGATATTTCTGAATATGCAAAATAAACTGGCTGATGTTTTAAAAATCAAAAGGGAAATACAAATGATTAAGAAAGTGACCTGGTTAATTTTTTTAATGGAATTACGAAGGAGGCTTGTAAAAGACTTGAAGAACTCTGCAAAGGGATAAAGAAGAAATGAATAACAATCAAATCCTAGGACAATATTTGAATGAACTAAAGATTAAGAATGTTAGAAGTAAAAAGAAGGAATATAAAGTTGATTATTTGATCAAGGTTAAAACAAGATACATTGTTAATCTGGCAACCCTTTATGGACTTTCTGCTGACACCAGGACTGAAAAGATGATGTTTTATGGATTTGTCTATAGATAAGGGATGGGATATGAAGAAATAATTGTTTGTAACATTAGAAGGGATGAGGAATAATTAAATTTGTTGATATTTGATGTGATAAAATATTTGGATATGCTTTAAATATTTGGTCTTTATTATATTTTTATTTTTCTCTCTTTTTATCCTTTTTCTTTTACTTTCTAATTTTTATTTATATTTACTTGTATGAGATTGTACTGTTATAATCAAGGCTATTAATAGAAATTATGTCTCCAAAATTGTTTTTCCTGATCCTTCCACCTCACAGTCGCAAGCACCATTTCTAATTGTGTGTTGCACCCACCTTTTACCTGGCTACAGTATGGATAAATCCTTGTCTTTCACAGTGCTTAAGGAGAGTAAAAAAAAAGACCAGAAAATAAGCAGGCAGGTTTTGCTCACTGCTGGAGGCACTTTGCATATCTAACAGTTTGGTGGGGTGCAGAGTTCATAAATGAAGCATACCAAACGTTAGATATAAAACCCCAACTATTTCCAAAAATATTCTTTTAAGCCTTACTTATTTTTCTGAAAAATGATAGAAATGTTCATCACCATGACCACAGTAACATTCAAAGAGCTGAGAATGCAAATATTATCAGGAGTTCCATTTTCCAGTCATTGATGGAAAACTTTAAAAGGAATTATTGACATTCCTCTTCATGGCTCTCTCTGCCCATGAAGAGCAGGAGCAATCTGTGAGGTGCTCAACATAGAAGTGTCTAGGAAAAAATATTATTTGTGTGAAAATTAATAATCCTTTTCATTTGGAAAGAAAACAAAGAAAATGAGAATGAAGGCAGAAAAATTAACGCTTAGTAAATTAAGACAAGAGAGTCCTTCTCTACTTTACTAGGTAAACTTAAGTGGTTATTTGATTCATAAACAGATGAAGTGGCATGGAACATGGAGGGTGAATGGTTGAAGATCTCAGTCCTTTCTCCTAAAAGCCCTCCTTTTGCTCCATACATGGCTCAATTTTCTACTTTGGTGTGCAGCTAAGTAGTTGTCACTGCCACTACCTTTTTTTCCAAACAATGACTCATCTAGTGATCTTTCCACCAATTCCAGTCTATGAGATTTGCTCAAATCAAAATTAAAATTTAAGAAAAAGTCCCATATTAAAACTTAAAGGAAAAAAATTATAAGGTAGATCGTAATATTATGATTGTCTAATTTAGAGGCACCTCAGTTACAAAGAGGTTCCAGTTACATGAAAACACACTGGTACTGAGCTTGTATGGATAAATACAATAGTAGACGTGTTTTTCTCTGATTTTAGCCTCACTGACCGAGCTTCCCTTCTCTTGATTCTCTCACCATACACTTTCTAAACAATACCATGATTGCATGCCACTCCACAACATTCATGCCAGTTCTCTAGTTTTAGGGGCTGATCGTGGTACCCCAAAGTGGGTGACAAATCCTAATTTGTAGCAGAGGATAATACATCTATCTGATGACAAACTGTAGCAAAGCATGTTTCTGCAGGCATGCAGATGGAAAACCACAACATTCCATCCTGTTCCACTTGGAAAAAAGCAGAAGTTGGCAATTAACTTCATTTATTCAGTGTTTCATGTGTCATGAGA